ACGCATTTGTCCGAGGAAGAATTTTTCTACGCTCGATGTGAACATTTACCAATTCCATGGCTAATTTCTCTAGAAACAACCGTCTTTGTACTGTTCTCTTCTGTTTCCAGTCTGGGTGGGTGTCACAGTATAATACATAAGCATGGAAACATGAAATATCAATCATATTATGAAATATGACTATTGGCCACCTTCTAGTCATTCGTTTACAACTATAGGACGAAATCATTTTGTCTAGAAAATCAACAGCACCCTTTGTTGCATTATAGTCCATGATCATTTTTGGTTTCTTCTGCTCTGATTCATTTTTATTTTCTTGAGATTTGTGCTCAACAAAATTACATTTTTGTTTTTTTTTTTCGGAATGTATGTCAAGTAAAGTAAAGTCAAGAACCATTTTTGAATTGAATGCAAAAGTAGATGAAAACACAGGTTTCTTCGTGTCTAAAAGATCTACGGGTATCTGTCGCTTATTTTTCCGTAAGGTTCCAAGAATGGTAAGTTTACGATTAAAAGTTTTTCAGCTAATTCATAAGATGTAAAAAAATTATCACATGTAAGGTTGTAGCCCTGTAAACTTTCTGTCAGATCCAAAACTACACGCATTCCTTGATTTTTTCCAGAGCACTTCCTTGGAGTTTTCCAGTATAACACTGAATTGAACGTATCCTGTTTCACTGTCTTACTTGGTTTGCTTGGCATATATTGTCGGAAAGGACATCGACCTCTAAATGAAAGTAACTGTTCGTCAATTGTGATATTTATATTTGGATTATAAAACATAGGCAACAGCTTCACCCATTCATCCCACATATCTCTCACAGCTGCTAATTTATCACTCTGTTTTCTTGCTTCTCGGTCAGAACGTTTATCAAAACGCAAAATCGCAGAAATTTGTTTGAAACGTTTCAGGGACATTGTTGCCCGAAATATAGGTCTTCCATAAGCTTCGGACCATAAGCTTTCTAAATTTTCATCGTTAGACTTGAAAACTCCAGCAAAAATAAGAATACCTAGATATGCATCTAACTCCGTTTCATCTAACGCTTCCCATCCATTTCCGAAACGTGAAGAACCTTCTATATTTGTTTGTTTCAAAATTATAGATTTTATACGCTTATTTAGAAATAAATCAAAAGAACTTCTAAATGTATTTATGCGATTAGAAGCATAGCTGGTAATGCCTGGTGTAAGTTTAATTAGGTTTGCACTACTCAAACGACCTCTGACTTCTAATGGGGTTCTTGACCATACAAATTCACCATTTTTGATAGCATTTCGTTTTCATTAGCACTGCTATTGGTAACGTATTTTGAAAGAGGCTCCTCATCGCTATTTGTTTCGTCAATACTGCTTTCACTGTATAAAATGGTTTGAATATTGTCGGTAGGATTTTCATTCAAATTATTCTCCGTTTCACTAATTATTTCATCTTCGGAATTTATATCGTAGTTTAAGATTTCCGAAATCGCAGAATCAGTCAAATTGTGAGCCATTTCAAACACCAACGAAACCCATCAAGTCCAAACAACGAATGAATCAAATAAAAGTAACTGTCACACGTAAATAATGTAATCTACCGGCATACTAATGTAAATAAACAATTATTCTCAAAGTAACTTCAACAATAACGCGCTAAGTAATTAAGATATTACTAACATTTATAAATTGTAAGTGTATTCTTAGAATGCATCAAAGCATTATTGTTTGCAAAACACGGGCTTTTCTGACCCGAGGACCTTTTTCATACTCGGGTATTATTGACCCGAGAAACCTAAGAAGCAAAAACTTAACTTAACTTTTTTACGTGGTAGAGCCATGCTGCAATTTACGTGGTAGAGCCATGCTGCAATTATATTAGTAGTATAGTTGTAGCACGAATGGGTCGGCTCGACCGGGGAAGGACCACGCTCTCACAGAATACCAGCGTGAAATAGTAGCTTAATGCTGCTGTATTTCGTATGGTGAGTGTAGAGAACCGGAGACCCTTTTTACTGGAAATGAGGCATTCCATCTCAGTCCTCACGGGTGACAACGCATCTGCATTTTGATTTGTAATGGAAGATAGATGTAGATGTCTATGGGCCGCAGCAACCACTTACCATCAGGTGGACTGTGTGCTCGTTTGTCACCCTATCCTATAAAAAAAAAAAAAAAAAAAAAAAAAAAAAACTTAATTTTCTTAAGATAAGAGACTTCACCATAATTTTACAATAATAATATATAGTGAATGCATAATTAATAATTGTCATAAAGTCTTAGTAAATTTTACTAATAATTACGACTTTTATTGACAGTTAAGTTTCAGTTTCGGGTCAATATGACCCGAAGAACCGAGGAAAGTTAAAACAGACCCAACTTGTGTCATTTGAAAAAGTACTGGTTTTTTAGTGGAATGGTATTTGAAAGTCTACAAGTTTTATATTTTCTAACATCTACATGAAACCATGAAATAATTTACAACAAAATAAATGTATGCTTTAAACAAAAAATTCAAAATAAAGGCGTCTAAAGATAAGCAAAAATCATCCACTTAGGTGCCTTGAGAAGCTAGTATAGTATGGATACGACTTTTCTTTACATACATTTCAAAAATAATATGATGGAATTTTTTTTATTATTCGTTACAATTTTGAAAAAAATAATGAATAGATTAACACAAATGTATGAAATGTATAAATAATTTTTTCTGAATAATTTAGTTTCTCTCAAATTGGAAGGGAATAGGAAAATATTTTTTAACCGACTTCAAAAAAAGTTTGTTACGCGATTACTTCGCTAATAGTGAATCGATTGCGGTGATTTCTTTTTTTGTTAGGTAGGTCATATTTCGGGTTGCCTAATAGTAAACATTAAATAAATTAGTTGGTTTTATTTGAAGTCAGTTATTTGAAATTCCATTTTGATACAAATAATCCCTAATATGTACGGACAACAGTTTATCAAGTTACCACAAAAAGTCAACATTTTTTTTTGAGATACAGTTGAAAGTTGCATGAGAAATTTGACAGATTGGAATAACTTGACCTGCCGTTGATTGTACAACGCTAACAACCCATAAATCTGGTTTTAGAGTCACGCTTACGTCACGTTAACCAAGAAACGTTTAAGTATAAAGCGAAACTGTTAGCGCTGAGGATCAGCAGTCAGCACCATTTTTCTACGGACTTGCTACGCGCTGAGCTGTTAGCACTGACGGTATTCATCAAAAAAACTTCCATTCATACAAAAAAACTTCCATTCATACAAAAAAGAAAAAAAAACTTCCATTCATACAAAAGAAAAAGACTTCCATTCATACGAAAAAAATTGCTGCTATACATGTCACATATTTCCCGTTACAGTATGGATGAACACCTCCCGACTAAAATAGCGGCATACTTATTTACTTACAAAAGTAAGTAAGTAGGTATGCCGCTATTTAAAAGCAAAAGCTTTTCTGATGAATTTCAAATGCTAATGCTCAAATGCCAATGTCAGTAGCTAGTGTCACTGCAGAGTGTTACTGTGCAGCATTTATGCGCTATGGGGACCGAAACATGAAAAAAGGCAAAGTGATGTTGCACCCTGTGCAATAAGTATGAGTCCTCTTATGGCAAACAGCACAACATCTCATTCTTTCATGTTTCTTGCCCGACAAAAGTCGTACTGACCAGGAAAGTGGTCAGTAGTAGTAGATGTTGGAGCTACTTTAGCGGGTGTATGTTTAGTAATTAGTTGCCTCACCAACGTCTTGCGAAATTCGCGATGGTCAAGGGGGGAGAGCTCGACTTTATCAAAATGTAAGCATTTAAAACATTTGCATTCAAAAGCATTCTGAAAAACTTCTTGTGCTAGATTCTGTTCCGCCTTCTTTCATTCGGGTACATGGCCAGCATCTGGTCCTTGCGGTCGACACCCCCCATACAGACATTATAGTCTGACACTATGGAGAGCTTTAAAGGGCCGTCACATCTCACGGTTGCTAGCCCATGGTATGTCGATATAAGAGACACGCGGTTCTTGTCTTGCCATACCACGAGATCCACATCCCCTGAGGTGCAGCCGGTCAATTCACCCACAGCCATGTTCTGTTTGTTAAACTCGCCAACTCGACGGGAACAAATTCGCGGTTTGTTCGAAGAGTCCCCACGCAGTCGAAGCCCCGAACCTTTAATTCTCGTGCAAGAGCAGGAGAATTATAAAAGTTGTTCATACATACCGTGTGGCCCTTGTTCTCAAGACCATCAAAAAGCCTCAGAACAAGAGCTGGCACTAATACAGAAACAGGATCTTCTTGCGGCGTGCTGGAGGATTCGTCGTGTCCTGCGTGGACTTCAAAGCGCCACAAGTATCCCGTTTTGGACTCACAAACCTCGTACGTTTTGATTCAGACTGTAGCAGCTTTGTTGCGAATGAACTGGCTAATTTCTAGCTAGCCCTTCTACATGGTTAAACTTTCATCCAACGCGATGTTCTGCGACATATTGTACAGCTGTGAAAATTTGGTATTAACAGCTTCGCTGCCGGCCTGACTATGGGGGTGGTTTGAGAAAATCCAAATTGTTTTTTTTATAATATGCGTTCGGCACATACCTAAAGAATATTTCAATAAATGTTTGACTATTATTATCATGTTTTACTATGAAGAAAAAACAAAATTAATATTCCCGCAAATATGCGGGCCCGGCACTGGGGTTGAAATTTTCTATTCTAGTGCCGGGCCCGCAATTTAGCGGAGTGGCTTATTTTATGTATAATCGTATATTTATGTCATTTGGACACGACATTAATGTCCTTTTTCTTAATTCTAATACTCTTGAGAACAATAACTAATTTTTCACATAGTAAGCTTACAAAAAATACAGTAAAAATTAAACACAGTAAAAAAAAAACAGTTGAACAAAAAAAACTTCTTCTTCAGCTTCTAACACAAAATAAAAATTCTAAAAATATCCTAATGAGATTATAAACAGAGCTGTAATATAATCCACAGCTATGATGTCAAAATAAAATAAAGTCTAGATGGACAAATGGAATTCGTCAAAACACTCAAAGCACAGACCAGGTTTGTCAATGCAAGTTTCGCAATGCCACATAGAGTCTCTCCGTATTTTTTGAGATTTTGAGCACATGCGGCACATCTTGCGCTTGATGTTTCCTTTGGAATTTCTCTCAGTTATTTTACTGATTTTGTGTGGCACTTCTCTGCTCGTTTTCGCTCTGCTTGGGCCGGTTGGAACAGACACTGCAGTATTTTTTTCAGGTAAAAGCTCATTTATCACAGCTAAGCGATAATCGTAGAGTGTCATTTTAGGTTTTCCAGAATATTTGTTGTACATTTTATAAGAGTTTATAAATAGTAGTTGAAAGGTGTGGATGGCTAACTTGAGATACCAGCGAAGAGTTTTTCTTTCGCACGGATAAAATGCGAGCAGTTGGTCTTGTCGGTCAACTCCTGACATAAACTCATTATATTTGGCAATAGTTGCAGGTTTTTCATTAATTTGGCCACGCTTATTAGCAACAGTTATGTCTTCACATTCCGTGGTGATGTACATCACTGACCGTTTATCTTTCCATTTTCCGATGTGCACACATTCTCGAAACCTTGAAATGTTATCGCCTTTTTTTTAGCGTTTTTTGAACCACATCCTTTGGATTTTCTTTCAAATCCTTTCTTAAAGTTCCACTACAGTAAGTCTTATTATGTAAAAGACGTTTAGCCAAGTGGAAACTATTATAATAGTTATCCATATATAATGAGTGTCCATTGTGAAGTTTCTCCTACATCAATTGCATTACAACCTTTTCGGCGTGCCCTTTTCCAGCAACATCATGGTCTTGGCTCCCAGCATATACTCGAAACTTCAAAATGAGACCATCAGGTTCAGTCAACATGTATAGTTTGATACCATACTTATGGCGCTTGTTTTTTACATACTGCTTGAATCTCAGTCGCCCTCTCCACAGAACCATGCTCTCATCCAACGACAGCTCTTTGCCAGGATAATAGCATGTATTCATTTTTTGGTTGAAATAATCAACGACACTACGTATTTTGTACAGTGGGTCATCATTCACTATCTCTGTCTCTGAGCTGAAGTGAAGACATCTCATTATTAGGAAATATCTATTTCTACTCATCTGTTGACCAAAAATAGGTATTGAAAATAACCGGCTCTTTTTCCAGTAATCTTGTAGTCGGGGCAGCTGAAAAGAACCCATGTGGAAAAGTAAGCCAAGGAATATTTTCAGTTCAGGAACGTCCACGTCCTTCCAATTAGTTATTCTTGATGATTCCGAAACACCGAAAAGAAATAACTTTCTGGCTTGAGCATTAGTTTTTTCACAAATCATTGCAAGGAAATCATCTTCAAAGAAGAAATTGAAAAATGCGATTGGAGTTGGGTCAGGCGCGCCAAAGAACTCATTTTGTTTAGTGAAATCAATTTTTTTTAGCTCACATGTCGTTGTCCATGAAGAAGTAGCTCCTTCCTCAGGTAGTGCTAATCTTTCTGGTTGTTGTATTGCTTCTAATGACGGACTCCTTCGACGAGTACGTTGCGACGCTAATTGTAAATCCATAGCCGCCATTTGCATAATATTTTGCCGCTCGATTTCCTCTTCATCATCATCTGATGACATGTCCTCAAGCTGGAAGTCATCATCAGAGTCGTTGCCCAAAAGCTGCTCTTCAATATCACTATCAGTTATCTTATAAACTGGCTCCATTTTCTTTCGTTTCGGCCGCGAGGGACCCGGTTGATCACTCATAATTGAACGCTAATTTCTTCAAATTAAAATTAAATTTTTTAAAACCACAACTTGCACAACAATTTTGCAACATTCAAGCGCAGTGCCAACCTATAAACGTGTTGTCAAGAGCTGTGCCGGATGCGTACTGAGGCATACAAACTGAGCGGTGCTACTCCGCTAATTTGCGGGGTCGGCACCCCGCGCTCAGCCCGCCCCCCGCAAATATGCGGAGTTGGCACTGAAGTTGTTAAGATGGTCCAAAATTGGACGCACCTTAAAAATCCTCACCTCTGACCGTTTCATTGTTTGTGGGTCCCAATTCGCATTATTTTGAAAGTGCAGACATTTGCACAGCAACAGAAAACGGTCATATGACATTACGTCGGAGAATCCAGGAGTACTGAAAATGTCATTGGACACATTCCAGTACTCCTCCAGTCGTGACTTGACTACAATCCCAATAGCTAGGACTATAGCCAAGAAGACATACAATTCTTCGACGCATGTGTCCTTCCAGCGCGTGATGCGACTTGTAGGTCGCAACGTGCCTTCGAACAACATGACCGTTGTCTTTTGCTGCGAAAACCTGTTCGTTTCCGCTGCAATGTGTTCCATTATTTGTTGATCCCATATGGCAGTAAATGCATCATACGGGGTCGCCAATGGAACTGTAGGTCCAACATTTCTTTATGAAAATATTTCTCGTCTCAGCTTAGGTGGAGTTTGAGACTGCGGAAACGCTCTCCATTAAATTAAAATTTCGAGCGAGGCCCAACTTCACCCTCCTCGCTCGGTGTTTGTCGGTCGGAGAGAATCGCGGCAGGGGAAGATACCTCTTGCTGCTGCGGTGAGAGGGGGACGAGGTGGCCACTCCAAATTCAAAGTGGCATCTGTGGGTGGCGGGCAGGAATATATTAATATATAACTTTGAATGTATAGCGTTATACGTATAATGCTGTGTTTTTCAGATATGTAGTTACGATATACAATATTTCTGCATTACATACCTGTGGGTGGGACTTCATCTGCTTCCTCTCCAAGAAACATTGTCTCCGACCGTGAAAGGAATACGGGCGGGAGACCAACCTCCCCATATTCCGGGTCTTCGTCGTCCTCATCTTCGCTGCCTGTATAAAACAATAATAGCTTTTAAAACTAAACTACAAACTAGTCTTAGTTTATCGATTCATCAAGGGAACTCTTCTTGAGAACGAGATAAGAAACGTTAATTCACGTAATTGTGTTTAAGACACGAAGGATATTAGAAAAATAAATTTATACGTACTATTGCAGAGGAAATCCGCAATCGTGCTTCGTCAAAATCAAAATCGCTTTTCATAGGCTGCCGATGCTGCTGCTGCGTTTGGTATCCTAAAAATAATTTAAGTTTCGTTAGTTTTCAATAAATAGTCTTACATACATCTGTCACATATACATAAATGAGGTAAATGAGTACTTACAGCCGGCGCTGGCGCTTTGATGATGGCCCATCAATGCCATCTATAATGCCCAAAATTAATGGGCCAGCTTGTGGCGTTCCCATTCCTGATGGGCCCGCCATATGGGATGAGGCGGTGCTTTCGCCACATTCAACAAACTTAAACAAATTTTAAAAAAATCCTTTATACATTGCGTTTTAGGACAAATAACTAATTGTAAAATTAAATGTTACTGACAATTCAGCTGTAAAAATAGTATTATTATACTCACAGAGCAGGGGAAGGTGGGGCTGACTCCTGCAGTGCGGGTGAGTCCAAGAGTGGGTGGCCTGAAGGCACTGTTCTAAAATATAACAATAATATGTGAGACAATAATGAAAATAAAAATTTTCCCTGAGCGGGTCGCGGGTTTTAATAAATCATTCTTACGTGTCAGGATCAGGGGAAGGCACTGGAACAGGTGACGCTGGTGGCTGTTGACAGACTATGGTGTCCCGCGTTGACCGTAAGTCCATAGCCTCAGCACTGGATTTTTTTTAAATTTTAACTTATCATAAGGTTCCTTTAACATAATACTTTTAGATATTACAGTATATTTACCTAGGTGGCTGCCGACGTGGGGGCAAAACGCTGGCTTTTTATATTCTTAGGGGGCGTTCCATCCTTTCCCTAACCTCTAAATCTTTGATACGAACGCTGGATAACCTAGAAAGAAATATATCACAATTGGTTTGAAAAATAACTAAATGTTAGGTTTTTTTGTTAGTAAAGACAAGTGGTTCTTACGAGTCAGCATTTTGCCGCCCACCACGCGTAGCAGGTCAACGGCCTCGCGTCCCTCCCGCCACACCACGGGCTGCTACACCATCGCGCGCTCCGCGGGCAGTCACACCGCGCGCCCCGCGGGCCGCCACTCTACCGCGTGCCACCACCCCACCAACTTCGCGCACTCTGCTACCGCCAGCATTTCCACTAGATTTTATAATTATGGTGTTAACACAAAAAAAAACACATTAAAACACGTGTATTTTGCTTAAAAAACATACACGTGTTTATTTTTTTTAAAAACTAATTTCTTTAAATGAATTTTTCCTGTATTCTAAAATCATTGCTATTCCAAACTTTTAAATATTGGTCATTTATTTACTCTCTTTATAATTAAGTGTATACTTTTTAGAAATATCGCTGACACCCTTCATATACAAACACACTCGAAAAACATAACCCTTCTTTTAGCGTAAAAATGTAAAAAGACCAAAATTGTGAAAAGTCGTATCCATAATAATACACATAAAAATAACACGCATAAAAAAACCTACAAGCCATTCCAAACTCGTGTCTGTTACGCACTGGTTTCCCGATCGATCAATGACTCTCGTGGTATTTCAATAAATTTCTTTACTTTTTACATAGAAACAGACTTTTTACACTAAATTTAACAAAACAAAATAAAATTGGTTGTAATTTACTAAAGAATTATTTTGGTATTATTCACATTTTGCTAAAATATGAAGAAAACTCAGTTGGGTTACGGAAATATGACAACACTTTTAGCGAGAGGTGTTCTATTTAAATACTGAAATTTATTATAAAATCTAACAAAAAGCGACCAAAATAGTAATAAAAACAATAAATTACATACCTTCCCATGTTTTCCTTCAGGTTTTTCACTCTATTTATCACAAAAATGGTATTTTTTATATTTTAAAACACAGCGATGGAACAAGAAAGATCAACTGCCAAAGATCAAGATAAACTGCCAAAAACGTCAATTTTTATCTCTACAGAGACTAAAATGGTGTGATTTATTGCTATCCCATTTACTCCTTAGCATTTTGGTATATGATGGTAAGTTGTGAAAGGTATTCTGATTTCCAGCGCTTCCATATATCAGCCATTAGTTTTTCTGTTAGGTTCCAACTTATTCGCGCGTCGTGTTGTGTTTCCAGTATTGTTACATCAGCTGTTCCAGTAAAGAAATACGAAGGTGTCAAGAAGTCGAGGTCCTCCACATCCACCTTTATCAAACCCACTACAGCAGCTGCAATATTGGGCTTCCTGTCAGAGGGTAAGTATTCCTCAATCACTGTGTTGTGCGAATCCCAGATGTCTCTTGCAATTCCATCTACATATTAAAATGTGTATGCTCATGTGATAAAACCTTATTTTAATTCTCTATAGTTTGGATGGGTATAGTGAGTTCATCAAAATTAAGCTTGTAGTATCTACTAGGGCAGGAAGGGGCTGAAGGTCTTTGCTGCTGGGAGGTAAAATATGTTTTGTCCTGTATGCCTACACACCATGTTTAAATCTTCATCTAATGTGAGGTATGTTGGTGGTGCCTCTCGATACTCTGAGTTGTCATCAACTTGTATTATTTAATTATTTTGTCCGTGCAGTTTGGGTCATAAATCATCGGAGTATTTCGCTCTCTCTACCACTCACGGGCCTTAGCGGCGAGCATAGTGATGCGCATTATTGTTGTCGATGAGCGTTATTCATAGTGTATTTGGCTTTGTCATTATGTGGGTTAGTGATAAAAACGAAAGAAAAAATGATAAAACAACAACGTATTTATTAAAATATGAATAATAATAATTTGAAATAAATTATTAATTAGGTAGCTATGCATTAAAAACTACAAGTGTTTGGATTGTAACAAGTTATATTAAAAATAAATATAATAACTTATATTTAAAATTATACATTAAAATTCTACATCAGAATCATCAGAGTCATCGTCATCCACATGAATTACGATATCTTCTGCCAGATTAGATTTTTTCCTCTTGGAGTTTTTCTGCATGCTTCACACAATATTCCCAGTTCTTTTGCGAAACGTTTGAAATTGCTTCATGCAGTAACACTTCCACGTCTGCAATTTTAAAAGTGCTGTTTTTGGTGGCAACTTCATTTTTTGCTTGAGCCCATACCAACTCAATTGGGTTATATTGGCAATGGTAAGGTGGTAAGCGAATCATTTCGTTCCTGACTCCAAAGCTAACTGATCCAATTCGTATATTTTTTCTGATCGGTTCCGTTGCACCTGTAAATATAATGTTGTTTGTATATTCATCTAAATACTTAAAAGAAAACAAATGTATTGCAAACTTTAAATAATAATATCTGAAATACCTTTTGTAATAGTTCCGGCTTGAGCTATCACTAAACTTAGTCCCGTGTTGGCGGAGCCACTCCTGAATTTCACTCTTTTTGTTCGTTGAGAGGGTATTAAGGCAATAAGTGTTCGCGGCGCTGCCCTAACGCGTGCTGGTGAACTTCTCATGTCTTCATATATACATCTTATTGGCAATTTATTTTTCTGACACTGTTGCATAATTAATTAATCATCAAATCAACTGAGTAATGTTAAAAAATTTTGTGTTGTTAAAAAATCGATAAGTATTGTTGTATAAGTTACGGGTACTTGACTATTAATATTTGCACACCACTGAGGTAGAATATGTAGAACAAATTATACTCGAACACCATTGTACAACCATATTCTTGCAAATAAAGATTATTATTATTATATTCGAAATATTTTGTTTTCTTATTTCTCAGACATGCATGTTTTTCCTCACGCTATTTTCCTTCACCGCTGAGCACGTGGTAAATCATCACATAATTAAACAAATTGCAATGAACATAGTTTATATTTATTCAGTTATATTTTTTGTATATGTCCATATACAGTGTGTCCAGGGAAGTAGTAATCAAACTTTAAGTGCGTGATCTATGGACAATTTTATCGATAAAAATATCTTAAGTCAGGGGTTCGAGCCCACTGTTGCTTAGTTACAAGAATTAAATTTTTTTATCATTTTTAGCTTTACCTTCAAAAATAGGCGACAGTGCGGAGGTGCATATTGACACTGATAACGAGCAATTTGGTGTCATTCGAAAGCTAAGAAGTTAAACTTTCAGTAAAAATATGAAACACACATAGTTGTCATACATTTTGAGAGAGTTAGGATTGATTAAATTAAAAAACTTATGATATTTTTTAATGTTTTTTCAGTTATTTTAAAATATCCAAAAAAAAAACTAGAACATTAAGATATCTTTTTTTATCGTATGGCTATTATTTGAGCTGTTCTAAAAAATTATGTCAAAACTATTACTCTAGGCCATTTATTTCCGAAGTTATTGTTTAACAAATGGGACCCTTCCGCGGCAAGTATTCTGGGAATCTTTTAACAGAGCTATCAATGACAGTAAAAGAAACAACAAAATAAAACTTATGTTATTTGTTTATTTTTTATAGACTCAAAGTAAATGTTCAAAATGGCCTCCTCCATTGGTAAGGCACATAGTTGCTCGTAAAGCAACTTGGCTTATTGCTTTCCGCAACATTCGATGATTCTGTCGTATTTCATCACCGACGCTGAAAATTCTTTGTAGTAGTTCATCCCTGGAGTTCACTGGTTCGAAATAAACTTTTTGCTTCAAATGATCCCAAAGAAAAAAAAATCTAGTGGGGTCAGGTCAGGCGAGCGCGGAGGCCAACTAACAGGACCTTCACGACCCACCCACTGTCCTGAGAATTTTTCGTTTAAATGCTAACGCATATTTCTAGCAAAATGGGCCGGAGCACCACCCATCTGCAGCCACATTCTACGTCGATAAATGAGTGGTAGATCCATCAAGGCTTCGGAAAAGTCGTTTCTTAAGAAATTTAAAAAAAATTCACTGTTCAAATTTGGCGGCAGCTCAATGGGTCCGATTAGTTGATTATCTATCTTTGCAGCCGAAACATTCACGGAAATCTCGTGTTGAAAACTCGCAGGATGTTTGGCATGTGGATTTTCTTCAGTCCACACATGTCAATTCCGAAAATTCGTTATGCCAGTTCGAGTAAATTTCGCTTCATCTGTCCACATTATTTTTTTAGTGAAATGTGGGTCTTCACGGATTTTTCTATGTTATTATATTTTGCAATTTTCTAAAATGATATGGGTGAAGTCCATTTCTCTTCAAAATTTCACATACGCGTGTTTTAGGTAAGCCCAAGCGTATACCGAGTCTACGGACGCTCAATCTTGGGTCTCTTGTTATTGCCAGCAATACTTCTTCTTCATCGTTTCTAGGACGGCGTAAGACCGGAGCGCGCTCCACCGGTCCTAACCTTACCCCATGTTCTTCGATTCTACTATGCACGTTGATAAAGGTAAGGAAGTTGGGCGTTCGTCGAGTCAGGTATCTTCTGGCGTATTCACGTACTGCGGCTCTAGCATTCCCATTGCAAAAACCATACACGAAGTGTATGTCTGCTAATTCTCTGTTAGAGTATTCGTATCCTCCTCGCGGCATGGCGAAAACCGAAAAAAACAGGGAACAATGAAAAGAGATAACAGACTAAACTTAAGACTCAAGATTCTGTCCGTAACAGTACGATGTATCATCGTTTTTTTCCTTCATACGACGAAAGTATATTATTCGTCTCTTTCTAGTAATAATAACGTAAAAATTCTACACCCGAATCCGACTACCTGGCTAGCGCGCTCACAGAGCGCGCTGCGGAAGGGTCCCATTTGTTTAACAATAACTTCGGAAATAAATGGCCTAGAGTAATAGTTGACATAATTTTTTAGAACAGCTCAAATACTAGCCATACGATACAAAAAAAGATACAGTATCTTAATGTTCTAGTTTTTTTTGGATATTTTAAAATAACTGAAAAAAAAAACATTAAAAAAATATCATAAGTTTTTTAATTTAATCAATCCTAACTCTCTCAAAATGTATGACAACTATGTGTGTTTCATATTTTTACTAAAAGTTTAACTTCTTAGCTTTCGAATGACACAAAATTGCTCGTTATCAGTGTCAATATGCACCTCCGCACTGTCGCCTATTTTTGAAGGTAAAGCTAAAAATGAGAAAAAAAAATTAAATTCTTGTAACTAAGCAACAGTGGGCTCGAACCCCTGACTTAAGATATTTTTATCGATAAAATTGTCCATAGATCACGCACTTAAAGTTTGATTACTACTTCCCTGGACACACTGTATACAGAATGGGGTCCCACATATATGCAATAAATGAAACCACAAGTAAAACTAGTCCGTAGAAAATTAAATATTAAATTAAAACCCGTAAAATAAAAAAGTGAAATTTTCAAATAAAATAAATATTATAATAAATTCAGTAAAAGTGAACACTCTGTTTAGACAACGTACCTTGACCCCTTGAAAGAGTGACAACGTTGCACGCGGGTGGCATGGCGATTGTCGGCACGGCCTATGGTTCGTTGGACAATGTGCGACAAAATAAAAACTTACTCACTAAACTGTTTAGATATTTTACCGCCACTTTTTTATTTCGCGAAAATGGAACTGAACGAAATAAATATTATTGCATATTAGTAGAAAAATTTAATGAAACCCTGAATTTTAAAATTTTCAAAATGTCCGCCACGTTCTTGAATGCATAAGTTACATCGCCGCATAATGTTGTCCTGAAGCCTGCTCAACAAATTTCGTTCAGGATCCAGAGCCAGGGCTTTTAATTTGTTAAAGGCGGCAACAATACGATTGCGCAGTTCATCTTCGGTTTCGGAGATCTTTGAGTACACTTCATTTTTAATAAAGCCCCATAAAAAGAAGTCTAGAGGAGTGAGGTCGGGCGATCGAGCTGGCCACCTGCGAGGGCCATAGCGCCCTATCCATTGTTCGCCGAACATGATGTTAAGCCGCTCTCTCGCGAGGAGTACGGAGTGTGGAGGAGCTCCATCTAACTGGAACCATACCCTTTGGTAAGCTGCCACAGACAATTCTTCTAAATTTTCTGTTATTGGGCCGTTAAGAATATTGAGAAATTTTTGTGCATTCAGGTTTCCGTCAATAAAAATAGGGCCGATTATTTGATCTCCGTGAATGCCTGCCCAAACATTAATGGAAAATCGGTATTGATGAGCTGATTCCCTAAATAAATGGGGATTCGTATGGCTCCAGTAACGCATGGATTGTCGGTTCCATATGCCGTTTCGAGTAAACGTGCTTTCATCTGTCCAAAACACATTTGTTAGGAAACGTTGGCCTTGTGACATTTTTTCCAGTACCCAGTGGCAGTAAGATTCTCTAATCGGCTTATCGCGGGGCAGCAGCGCCTGCACCTTAACATATTTATAAGGACGTAGTTTGTTCCTTTTCAGCACTCGGTGTATTGTTTTATGCCTCACTCTAAACACACGCCCAGCTTGTCTAAGGCTGCAGGTTGGATTCAGATCGAAATGGTCTAAGACTCGTTGTTCGAACGAGGGTGGAAAGTGACGCGGAGCAACTCCTTCATGAGTGTTGGGCACTATGCGGTGATTTTCCCTGATTCTTTGGACAGCACCTAGGATTGTCCGGACGCTAGTAGGGCAGACTCGAGTTGCGCCGTATCTCTCACTATAAGTACGCAGAGTTAACGCTGAATTTTGGTGGCATTCGCCATACAATAAAACCATGTCTGTATACTCTGCCGCACTGTAAAAATGCTGTTGTCTTGGCATTTTCCGCCGCCAAAACGTATACACAAAAGTCAAGTAGTGTCAATATCACAGTGAAAAAATAATAAAAATAAACGTACTTAAAAACACTATTTACACACACAAAGTCAATTAACTAATAAGTGTCTATTTCACCGTAAAAGAATTGTTCGACTAATTGTATTTATCTTACGATAATACGATAATTATCTTCCGATAAATAATTGCGATGCGTGTAGGCAGCGAAACACACATGTATTCTGGGAGAATTGCGCGTGAACTGGAAGCCGAATTTCCAAATTCCAAAATGGCGAAAATAATAAAAGTAATAAATAGGGCGGCCACAAGGTGCAATTATCGTTTATCGATACTTTTCTTTTTACACTTACTTACCTACTACATTTAATACAAGTAATTTTGATTTTTGATTTGATAACAATCGACAAGTTATTGATTGTTAAAAAAAAGTTTATTTTTATACAATTGAACTTACGAAACTACCGATTTGTAACTTCCTGGGAAACGGGTAAGTATGTATGACTTTATAATTGTTTGTTTTTATGAGTTTTTAGCATGTTAAAATAATTTATTATCTCTAAATCTACAAGAACACACTTAAACAAAAAAGCTTTAAAGTTTAGCTTTAAATACTTAGGTCGTAGTGTTTTTAGAATTATCATAACAACACGATTATTCTAAAAAAACCATACCCTAAGTGTTTAAAGCTAAACATTTTTTTTGTTTATCGTTTATTACTCCCTTTGAAAGAAGCTAATCGTCGATAACTGGTGTCCTACTCTACGACAAAGCGCGCGCGCACTTGCGTTGTCGCCTTTGAAGTACGCCGCGTGCCTCGTGCCGCTTGTTTATGGACGTCGACAAAAGACACCGCTGTCGATATGTCGCAATACCAATAGTTTGCACTGCGTGGCAACGTCGCTTTTTAATGTTCAAGGATTCAAGTTCATTGAATCATTGACTTAGTGACCCAATTCTATAGAGAGTTCAAATTTGCTTAAAATTAAAACTCTACTTTTTGACCTAATTACTGGACCGATTACGTTCATTTTTTGTATATCGTCAGCAAAGGCGATAACAAGTATATGGTTTCATTTATTGCATATATGTGGGACCCCATTCTGTATGTGCAACATTTTGTGCTACTGGAAAGATTATAAGAAAGCCTTTCAATATCTTCACCAGGAACTTAAATTCAAGTAACACCTTTGCAAAAACGTTAAGACATTTTACCAAACCAATCGGTTTAAAAAAAATCAAAACCTACACCCAAGAAACATTGTATGCTTTTAAGATCTGCAGGGTCTAATGAAAGACCTGTAAAAAGATTAAATGTAAAGGAAACCAAAATGCCAAAAAAGAAAATAATTACAAAAAACATCCGAAACATTCTTTCAGTTTTTAATGCTGTGAAGCGTTAATATATGAAAAATATTATCCTTTAAATTATTAATTAATGTTATACTAATATTGGTTTTTCATATTGGGGGTAGTATAAGTGTATAAAGCTATTTTTATTTCCTTAATTTTTTGCATGTTAGGAAGTAACGGTCATTTTTTCTTCCAACAAACTGCTGAGCATTTTAGCGGGCTGTAAAATTGTAACTGTGTGAATTTTTATGTTAAATAAATAAAAATATGTACATACTGTGATTTTCTTCATAATTGATATTTGCTTTGTAAATTGATGATTGCTTGTCTTCCATATCGAAAACGGAAAAATTCATCGGGCACTTGTAACTTTGGTATCAAATATCAACAGCAACAGGTCCGTAAGGGCGCAGAGCAGTGAGAGCACTGACCAGTGACAACTGATTAACCATAACCACCATATAACTAATGTTACGCGGGCTCCCGAAGAGGCAAAGCGCCGCCCACAAGTTGGAGCTTTGTGAGCTCGGCCTTTGGAATCGATCGGTTAAAAATCGTGAATCGAGAATCGACTTAAGCACAATCCTTACCTACCTACCTACCTACCGAGTGTAGGCAATAGGTATATGCATAATATACACTATATCGATGTATGTGTAATTAATGTGTTATTAATTATATTATATATTTTTATTTTATTTTATTATTATAGTATTATGGTTTATGTATTATTATTTTTGTATCGGTACCTATGCATGTGTCCAGTTCCTACTGTCGGATTTAGCCGGCTTGGGCGTTAGACATCAATACAATTTTTTAAAATAATATTAGTTTCTCATCTCAGCACAGTTGGTTAGTACCTAGGTATCACTATAAATCCACAGTAGGCGAGCAACCCGGGTTCGATCCCTGCCGGCACCAATGAAATAGTTACTTGCAATTTTACTCGTAAGTGCTGATTTACCACGTGCTCGGCAGTGAAAAAAAACATCGTGAGAAAACCTTCATTTCTGAGAAATAATTTGAAAGATTAGAATTTAAATTAATGATAAAAAACTATACACGTTGTAATGAAATATAGATAACTTCATAATTCTTCGGATTTACGTAAAAGGTTATTTTAAGTCGTGTGAGTACGCTCGTACAAAGTTATTGCGGAATGATTAATGTGAAACGTCAAAAGGTATTTCTTAGATTTAGTCACTGACTTCGAAGTATATGGACTGGGCATACCTACAAAATTAGCGTGACTACGTACAAAAATCTAACGCATAAAATGGCCGCCTTTTATAGGGTTGTAACTTTGCAATATGCGCAGCTTATATCGATATTTTAACTAATATGAATTTTTTTCTCATTTTATATAATTGGATTTGTTGCTTAATTTACTTTATTCCGTAGGTATTTACATAGATACAGGGCTGAATATTCAATCGTCAAATAACTAATCTGGCGAATAAATGTGACTGACCTATTTATGGCTTTTGTGTAGATAGAAATTAAATCCTTCTTTTGTGTTGAAAGTATTACTGGGGTGGTGATCCCATATCCCATATTATTAATGTAAAATAATAATGATTAGTTGAGTAAAAATGAAATGAACTGTTTTAAAAATCAATACTTATTTATTATTAATTTTTCTGCACATAATTCATCACAAATAGTTAGTTATACAAGGAAGTTGTATATCATATTTTATTTATTCGGATTTTAAATGAAAAATATTATCAAATTTCGAAAAATTCGAAAATCTGGCATGATCACGAAATATGATATGCAGGATAACATCCTGGATATCATATTTCATCCACCGTTTCATGATCATGATAGATTTTTATATAAACTATTATTATTATGATTTGTTCATTTCTTAACAAAATTATTTTTTAATATAATTTCTATAAGACAATGGGTGCGTTTGGCCGAAAAAAGCGCTAGCAAGCGCTTGTAAACAAAATGGCGATCGTAAGCGGTAACCGCTTTCAAATCGTTAGTAGCTATTTTCCGCTAGGACACGATGTTAGTTGAACCCGGGGAACCTAACCTAATTTAAGTATATGTTTGTAAAGTATTCATATTAAAAAGGTACCAATCATGAATAATATATTAAATAATGTAGTGACTGACGACGAAGAAACGGAAGATATTTTCGGTGATGATATTGTTAATATTGCTGCTCCTATTATTAATGCTCCTATTAAAGCAGGTATTTATGTTTATTATTTTACATGTAGTTTATAAAAAAAATTAATTTTTTATTAGTTAAGTCATTTAAATAATCTTTGTTTTTCAGGTAATAATATTTTTAACAACATACATGATGCAGTCATCACGGAAGAAGATCGAAACCACGATCTTTACCTTCAACCCAGAGGTGATCCAAATGCTTGTATACAAAATTTTTATGAAGAAGTTATTCCAGCATACACCGATCAACAATTTTATGAGCATTTTCGGATGCATCGAAACGTATTTGAGGTGATAAATTAATTTTACGTATCATTTAATATTCAAGCTCAATGTGAAATACTAAGTATTTTATTTTTTTTGTTATTAGGAGTTAGTCAGTATAATTGAAGCACGGATTGCGATCCTCAATGCAAACCCTGAGAATAACTCTGATAACGACTCAGGTATTCCAATGCGGAAAAAAATATTGTTAACTATTTGGGTTTTAGCTACACCAGACAGTTATCGGTCCATTGCTGATAGATTTGGACTAGGTAAAAGCAAAGCTCACACTTGTTTTAAAGAGATTGTTTCAATTTTGGCAGATTTAATATCAGAGTTTGTAACATGGCCAAATGAAGATTTATTACGAGAAATTGAACAAGTTAGGATCATTCTTGAATTTTTTTAGATGTGTGATTTTTTAGATGAATGCAATAATTTCATACATTTACATTTTCAGGTGTTTATGGAACGGTCTCAAAATCGATTTCCGGGAATCGTGGGAGCAATAGATGGCTGTCATATTCAAATAAAGCAACCACCACACAATGCCCATGATTTTTATAATAGAAAGGAAACCCATTCAGTAATTTTACAAGGTATTAAAACAAAAATACACTATTTCACACAGTTATTTTCAAAATTATAAATACAAACAAAACATTTAACTATTCCAGGAACATGCGACCATACAGGAAAATTTACTGATGTTTTAATAGGAAGGCCAGGCCGATGTCATGATGCATCTGTATTACATAGCAGTGCATTATACCGTCGTTTGATAGATCCTGTTCATCCTTTATTGTCCAACTGTCAACATCTGCTTGGAGATTCCGGATATCCGTTATCTACTCATATACTTACACCTTTTAGAGACAATGGGCATTTAAGTGATCAAGAAACCCGATATAATGTAGTGCATGCTTCTTGCAGAAGTATTATAGAACGAGCATTTGGTTTGTTGAAAGTAAAGTTTCGTCGATTGTACCATTTGGATGTTCAATCCGTTACAATGGCAAATGTTATGATTGCTGCTTCATGCACTTTACATAACTTCAATTTAATGCGCGGTCAAGCTAACATTTGGGATAACATCAACTTCGTTAATGAAAATCGTGATGATGATGATCACTATGATGATGATATTGGTGATGATGATTCTGATGGAGTTATTAAAAGAGATAGAATTATGGAGGCAATGTAATTTAAAATATACAATTGAATTTAAATAAATTTATTTTTTTTAAACAAGAAGTGTGTGAAATTTTTCATTTTTTGACAATTTTTAAAATAATTATACGATAGAATGTGTGCAGAATGAATGAACGAAATGTGCAGATTTACTAATTATACAATTTTAGAAACATCTTGAGAAGTATAAGCTATTTTTTAAATAAATGTTTGCCATTTAACTGATGTTATCATATTAACTTTGAAGATTTATAAATTAGAATATTTATTTCAATGAAACTAAAATTTATACTTATTTTTATTTCAACTTCTGAACAAAATTCATTTATATATATATACAGATACATATAAAAACTCTGTTACAAATCTAAAAATACTTTGTGTAATGTTTGAACAACATCGGTGAAGCTTCAAAGTAACTTATAAGTTAAGAAAATCAACATTTTAAAATGTATGTACATTTATAAAAATAAAATAATGTGTATACATAAAAACTCTTTTAAATCTAAAAATGCTTCAAACAATTTTGGTGATACTTTAAAGTAATTTATAACAGAAAAATATCAACAAACAGTCCATTTGTCTACACTTAAATAAAGATATATTATTATTGAACTAAACAGTTCAAATAATTAACTTTGGTTGTTAATACTTCAGCTAAACAATTATAGACTACAGTTTCTTATAATTTATGAACAACCTGGACCATCTAGCTTGTTGGAGATATCACTAAATATATCATTTCTTTCTTTCATTATTTCGTTTTTCTCTTTTAATACTGTAATTAAATTATCCATGGTATTTTTCCAAATATAAGCGTTGTTTGATAAAATGTTATTGTTATCCTCTGAATTTTTAGCCATTTGTTTAAAGATTTCTTTCTTTTCTATATCCAATTGCAGTTGTTTATTGCGTTGCCCATACAACTGTCGCGCGTGAATATTTTTTCCAGCATCTTTCTTTACTTGTTTTTCAATATTTTCATCTGCTGCTAAGGAATGGGAAGATGTACTATCAATTGTGTCTGCATCAGAAAAAATATTTTCAAACCTAAAAAAATAATAATTAAATTAAAATAGTTATTAATGAATCAATATAGATAATAGTATCATAAGAAATACCTTTTATTTGATTTCGACAAATTCAATGGCAAAGGATTAATTTGAGATGTTGAACTTTCTATAACATTATCTGTTAATATCACTGATTCATCATTATGAAAAATTTCAGTCATCATTTGTAACCATGGCCTTTCAGCTCTTCCTTGGCCTGTTGATCTCTTACTTTTTAATTTTTTTTTGTATTGGCTTTTCATGTTTCTTATTTTTTTATCGAGTTCTGAATATGGGATATTGATATTATGTTTTAAAAATTCAGCTGCTATTTCCCGGTATAATCTATTTTTTTTAATTCCTGGGTCACGGAACTGTTTAATCCTTTTTTTATACTCATCTAAAAGTAATTTGATTTTTGTGGGAGTCCAAAATTTAGCTGGAAAAAATATTATTACTTAAAATTAACTTTTCCATTACATTTTTAAGTTGGTTACAGCTTATGAGTTTTAGTGCAACAAATACCAGAGATTTATATATATATATATATATATATATATATATATATATATATATATATATAATCATCCTTTCACGGTAAATGTTGATCCAGTGAGAAGTTAAAACAATTGTTGATCCACCTATTTGACGTGTTTGCTCAGCTCCTCGTCGCACAAACTGATATAGGTACTTTGATCCATTCTTGATGCGCGTGTGACGTCGGTGGATCTGCACTAACAGGATTTCAATATACTCGTCAGCGATTTGACCAACATTTGTTGATCTATCAACGGTCGAAAAAAATCATACTGAATATGATTTTTTAGATCCAGAGTATATTTAATTTATATGCGACATTTACTTAGACTAAGTGGATCCGTAGCCATAATTGACGAATAGGTACTCGAACACGAAAGCGGCAACGTCGCGTTCTGTGTGTGACAGAGAACCCAGTAGGCTACTTCGTTATAGTAATAAGGTAAGAAAATACGTTATCTACTGATTTTGTGGATCAAACTTTGGCAGGTTTTATTGTGGAAAGACGTTTGTTCGAGTTTTTGTTATCGTGTGAGTGAATTTCTGTTATTTTATTCATTTGTCATAGATCAATTAGAAAATGATTGATAGTACTTTATTACAAATTAATTTTAGTGTATTACAAATTTAAAAAAAAATGTGTACAAATAAATTAATTGTAGCGTTCACTCGAGTGTGTGTGTGTGTGTGTGTGTGCGTGTGTGTGTGTGTGTGTTTTTTTATACGAGTTTGTGTGTGCGCGTGCATGTGGGTGTATGATGTGTTCGTGTGAACGCATGTGCGTGCGCGTGTGTGTGTGAGTGTGTGCGTGCGTGTGTTAACTGTTGTTCGTGTGTGTGTGTGTGTGTGTGTGTGTGTGTGTGTGTGTGCGAGCACGCGTGTGTTTGTATGTGTGTGTGAATTTGTGTCTATGTTTGTGCGTGTGTGTGTGTGTGTGTGTGCGTGCGTACGTACGTGTGTGTGTGTGTGTGCTTAGGTGTGCGTGTGTGTGTCTGTATTTATGTGAGTGCTCGAGAGCGCGCGTGTGTGTATGCGCGTGCGTGTTCGTGCGTGCGTGCGGTGCGGGTGCGTGCGTGTGTGTTCGTCTGAGTGCGTGTTTGTGTGTGTGTGCGCGTGCGTATGCGTGCGTGCGTGTGATCGTCTGAGTGCGTGTTTGAGTGTGTGTGTGTGTGTGCGTGTGTGTGTGTGTGTGTGTGTGTCTGTGTGTGTGTGAAAACGGAGGCGGAGAATGGAGATGTGGAGGCGGAGGTGAATGCAGCGTAGTATGTGGTGAAGGCGGAGGAGAGGAATTTGTGGTGAAGTCGGTAATAGTGGAAACGGGGAATTGTGTTGGAGGCGAAAAGAATAGTGACGGCGCGTGGTGGTGGCGGCGGAGGGAGCGGAGTTTATTGTTGAGGCGGATGGAGCAGAGTTTATGGTGGAGGCGGAGGTAGCGGAGGTGGAGAACGAAAGCTTAGAGAGGGGTGCGGTGGTAGATGTTTAGGCGTAGGTGGCAGAGATGTTGGTGGGTGCACTGGAGTGCAGTAAAGTGGTTACCGCGTGAGGGCAAGTGAGGCTCATATAAAGGACAGTTGGTTACAGCGAAAAACAGTGTGGCTGGTAAGTAGATATCGATACTGCCCCTAAAGATGTTACTACGAGGTTATTCATTTTTCCGAATATCAGCTTGGATACCTATTGGTACTAGAGATAAAGTGAAAAGAACTTTTCTTTTGTGACGGTTTCATCATAACTAACAAAAAAAACCAAACTCGGCATACCTAGCTCTACTAGTCCAGGTGTTACAGTGTTAGATACCGAAGTACACCTTCAGGTCACTTCAGCAAGTCCGGAGGTAAGGACTCATCATAACTAACAAAACGAGCCCAAACTCAGCACACCCAGTTCTACTAGTCCAGGAGTTCCACTAGTAATTCCGAATTACATTTTGAGGTCACTACATCAAGACCGGAGGTAAGGTCTCATGATAATATCTCATGTAATAGTTCGATTCTATACTTATCAATTTTGTAAACGCGTCCTTAAAAATCTTGATTATGAAGATGTAGAAAACATGTTAACTGGTTTATGGTAAACACACACACACACACACACACACACACACAAACACGCAAGCGCGCGTGCAAACATGCACACATGCGCACAAGCACAAACGCATACACACACTCACACACGTACACTGCCGCACACACACGCACACACACAAACACAACAGTGCACACATGCACACCCATTCACACACACACACACACACACACACACACACACACACGTACACATACGCACACGCACACATATGCACACACACACACACATACACACACACGCGCGCGCACACATATGCACACAAATACACACACGCGCGCGCGCGCGCACTCTCTCTCTCTCTCTCTCTCTCTCTCACACACACACACACACACACGCACGCACGCAAACACGTACTCAGACGAATACCTTATGTCGCCGTTGCCACCACTTCCGCTACAAGAAGGGGCGTTGTCGAGTAATTCGTTAAAAAAAAGTCGTTTATTTCGACCACAAGGATCATAGTGGTTAGTAATAATACAAATCTTAAAACTAATTTTCTTAAAACTTAAAACTATTTACCTAATTTTAAAACTATATATAAGACAGGCCCGATTACTCAGCACTTGCACCATATGACAATGGTTCAGGTACTGACCTCAAACCTGTCAGAAAATGCCCTCAGGATACCATTGGAACTGGCCCGCACCCTGCGCACCAGGGATGTGCATCGTTTACGCATGGTGGTGTAGAAACAATCGACACGCGCATCCGCGAACATACCCGGCGCATTACAATAACGAGGTAGACCAAACAGCACCCTAAATGCATTACATAACACGCATTTAATCTGTAGCTTGTACCGCCAAAGATACGAAACGGCAACGTCGCGGCTGCATACAGCCAATCCGATCGTTTATCTTATCGTTTGCTGTGCTCTGATTGGCTCATTTAAATCGGATCAACATTTTCCGTAACCATCGCAAGGTGGATTTGTATATCGGATCAACTTCGGCCAACGCTAGCAAACAGTCTCGTGAGTGAAGATGTTGATCCGGTCGGAGCCACATTAGTTACCAGAGATGCATATTGGATCAACAAAAGGCGCCGGATCAACATGCGTTTTCGGATCAACAAAGTGCTCGCGTCTGATCAATATTTACCGTAAAGAGATCTCTATATATATATATATATATATATATATATATATATATATATATATATATATATATATATATATATATATAAGTAAAGTAAAGTTACAGCCTATAAACATCCCACTGCTGGGCTCAGGCCTCCCCTCATTTCTGAGAGGGTTTAGGGCAAGGAAGTGTCCGCCGCGCTGCCCAAATGCGTGTTGACGAACTTCACATGTCTTCGAAATATTATTTTGACAGGCCTGTTGGTCTAGTGGTTAGTGACCCTGACTGCTATGCCGGAGGTCGTGGGTTCGATTCCCACCCAGGACAAATGTTTGTGTGATGAGCACAATCATTTGTTCTGTGTCTGGGTGTAATTTATCTATAATATTTATGTATTTAGAAATATATAAGTATGTTTATCAGTTGTCTAGTACCCATAACACAAGCTCTGCTTAGCTTGGGACTAGATGGCGTTGTGTGATGGTTGTGGAATATTATTATTATTATTATTATTTTTTCTTATTCCTCAGACATGCAGGTTTCCTCACGATGTTTTCCTTCACCACCGAGCACGTGGTAAATCAGCACTTAAAATTGCAATTAACAATTTCATTGGTGCCGGCATTCTGTTATATTTACAGCAAGCGTTAACCACTGAGCTACCACGGCTCCTATATATATATATATATATATATATATATATATATATATATATATATATATATATATTATAGAGTAGACATTGGGAACATCTGCATACAAAAACGGTGAGTACGCACGTATGTTAAGCTTTCTAGCGAAAAATACCAATACTATTACACATACCTTCTTCAGACTCGTTGGCACCGCTAATTAAATTATTTGCCACTTGATCAGTCTCATCATCTGCAGTTTCTGGTGTGTTGTGTTGTTGTATAAGATTTTCAAAATACTGTGATGCAAATTGGTCATCTGGAAATTATAAAATTATATTATTATAAAACAATCGAAGATCATCACACAATTACCATTGTACATAAAATTCGTATATTTAATGCTCCAAATAAAATAATTCTCGATCATGTAATTAATAGTCGAATTTACCTTGAACAAAATGACAATAAGAACATCGAAAACTAAAGACTACAATAAATGTAGGGAAGTTAGAAAAAAATTCTGGCATTTTTTATTAAAAATGAATTATTAATAACTTTGATTAAAACTACTTTTACGGATTTTATCGCGTTTATTTTACTTTTAATTACTATTATTTTTAATTCCCGACGTTTTTAATAACTAATAAAAAGTTCATGAAAATGAATTGAATCTAATAAGAAAATTATCAATATATCTTAGGAATTAAAGGAATAAATCAGTAAACGTAACCTAAAAACATATAAAACATAAGGTATTTACCGGTTTGAAGCTTATGATGTATATCATCCGTCGCAGAAACATCAAATTGCACATTTCCACATATATATTTTTCTATTTTTTGAACCGACATTATTATTTATATTAAAACTAATTGCACAAAACAACTTTCAAAACAAACAAAATAAATAATAAGCAAAATGGCGGATTGTGTCAGCGCTACTGAAGTAGCAATCGTGTCCTGGCCGAAAACTATTTTAGCGCTTATAAGCGCTTGCTAGCGCTTTTTTCTGCCAAACGCACCCAGTTTGTCACTGCTTCTTCTTGCATGGTATCTGAACCTTTTTCTGTCACAAATCCCGCAATATATTCGAATACAGCAATTGATAAGGTTTTTTAATAATTTAAATAACGACTCTAATAGAGGCATACTGAAGACCACTCCTGAAAGTTTTTGTTTTTCTCCCCCAGCTAGTAGCGACAAACATACATTTACTGTGATTTTTAATAATTACAAAACTTCTTAGCAGTTTTATAGTGGCTAAATAAATTAATCTTACATAAAGTAATAATTAAAAAATACATCCCTACCATAACACTTGAAATAAACTTTAAGACACTTATTGGACATAATAAAATATAAATAGAAGAAAAACACCTACTATAAGATAAGATGAAGGCACTGCACTACACAACAAAAAACTTTTAGCATTCAACAGTTTGACAGCAGATCTACCACAAAACTCAGCGCTTAACATGGCGATGCCGTCACGCATGGATGAGCTAATGACGTCACACGAAAGTGTTGTCAAAATAAGCAATTGACAAACTGTTGTTGTCTCCCTTTTCTAATGAAGCTACTACTTTGTTAAAAAGAAACAAAAGTATTTTTGACAAGTGTGTGTAGATATTATAGATATTTGTATAACTATTATTTCTATAGTAGAATACGCCGCCTCCATAGGTATTATATCTCTATGGATTTAGTTGACTATACATATCCTTTGGTGTAGATAATATGCGAATAATGAGGTAATAATTTTTTTTTGCACAGATAGACACAGATACTCCGATTCGAAAGTCCAAAAGCCTTCAGCCAGTCTCTAAGAAATTACACTACTACTACTACAGTTCAGAACAGAGTACGACATAGAAGTAGACAAAAAGAGCGTGGAGCGTGAAGACGAGTGTTGATAAGTTTGTTTCATAGTCAGGAATATTCAATGGATTATGGAGACTAAATTGTAATGAATATAGAGAAAACCGCTTCCATATTGCATGCAATATTTTAGGTTCTAAATAGGGTTGCCAACGGTATTGTTTTAACAGTATTATCTTTACTTTCCATTTAGTGTGCTAAATCTATTTCTTCTACATTTTATCTGTCAATCCGTATCAGTCCACATCTGGATGTAGCCCTCCTTCCTACCACGAAAGAGATACACCACGCTTATCAAGCTGATCGGCTGTCGCAGTACCCGAAGTCTTGCATCTTGTTTTGGGTGGCGTGATGGTGATGTAGCTACAGGGAAAACCAGCCATCTCTTGGAATTTCTCGTAGTCCTATTTTGCCACACTTTCAGGATGATACAGGGTAAAAAGAGAATTCTCTCAGTCCGTCACCACGTTTTAAGACTACTTTGTTTACTCCCGCAATATTTTATCAAATATTCTAAAAATCTGTTACTATTTATAAACATGTTTAAATGTATTTCAATCAGAAAAAACATTCTTTATTTTTCTTGTTCATACTCTGTATTTTTAATCAAATATTCTGTATCTCAAACAAAATTGGCAACATAATGATTTCTTAAATTTACGCGTACTGTGACGTAGGCGCGGGACCCGAAGACAACAAGCTTCGGGTCCCGCGCCTCCGTCACAGTGACCGAGTGAAGCCGGCCACAGTCGAGCGTGTGTCTGCCGTACTACCATATGTGTTAGCTTGGAAACTGTCTATGGCGTCTTTTTCCAACTCTCCTGTTTCTGGGATAAAGAGCTTGATATTTTGTTAATAGCAACAATTTCGGGCGCATAAATTTCGGGTCCGATTTTCAATTCACTCTCAAATATTTTCCGAGTATAGGTATATAATTCTTCACTTTTGTATGTGCAACCGGCTCCAGCGCGATAACACCGGCGTCTCTCAGCTGTTCCACGGTAACTTGATCACCGCAAAAAAACTAACGTTGTATTTATCACTTGTTGGTAATAATATTCTTGGGATGTAGATTGCCAGTGTTTGCCAGTGCTTGAGGCAATCGATGAACGGCAACAATGTCATTAGACACGGTGGTATGTTTGACTGCGGTTGCAATGCTTTCAATAATTGTGCTCAAGTTTTCATTACGTTTTTCCGGTAAATTGTAAATTTCTACATTACAAATACGTGACCGTTGTTCCTTGTTTTCAATCGTTGATTCCAAAAAAGTAAAAATATAAAAATTAACATAGAAATGTTTTATGACTGATGTTATAAATATAAATATTACTTACAGACACCTCCGCAGGCACTTCCAACAACTCCGACAGGTCCCCAAAAGACCCGTCGGGTCGTTAATAGCAAATTGGCATGCTCTGTTGAAAAATGAACCTTAATAAAAAATAAAAATATAAATTTCTTCGCAACCTTCCGACAAACAAATACAATGATGTGTCTTACCTGGATTGAAGAGCACCTCCCGCCCTCCCTCAATTGCATGCACTAACTCCGTCACCACTAATTCCAGCACCACTACTCCCAACACCACTATTCCAGGCAAGACACACCATCGACGATAATACGACACGTGTTTCGCCTCTACACGACGCATCTTCAGGTAATGTAGACTCTACGGCGGCTGACCGCTAAGTGAGCGGCGAGTTGAAACAGCTGCTATGTATACACGCCGACACAATCGCTCCCCACGAAAGTAGCGAGTGACCGCGCCGTGCGATAACAAACCTGCTACTAATTATCATTATTGTTATGTTTAATATTTTTTAAATACTATTATTAGTATTGTTTTATTGATGTTATTATAGTTATTTATTATTATTAATCTTAAATTTATTATTAAAGATTGCCCTTAAAGATATTTAACAAAGGTGAATTAGAAACATTTGTTTGTTCATTCAGCAGTGCATAATTACCATTATTACTTTTTAAAATCTCCAACTGCTCCAGCACACATAGCCGCAGCCCCTTATTACAAGTATGTAGGACTTCAAAGGAATGGTCGCTAGCTAGGTTGTGTCCAGTGTCCAAGAGATGTTTAGCAAAATGAGATTTATCAGGATTGCAATTTCTGTACGCGGCCAAATGCTCTTTATGGCGCGTCCCGAAATTGCGACCAGTCTGACCCACGTAAACGGCGTGGCATTCGTCACAAACAAGTTTATAAACACCCGATTTTTGACTAATATTTAACTTATCTTTATTATTACAAATATGCCTAAGCGAATTGTTTGTTTTGAATGCCACGTTAACGCCGTTTTTCTTAAGAATATTAGCTATTTTTTCCGATATGGAGCCTAAGTAGGTCAAACTACCCACATATCGCCGGACACTTTGAGATCGAACCGCATACAAAGAATTACGAACAACATGCTGTTGTTTCTTTTTAATAAGATTATTAATGAGACTTTTTGAAAAACCGTCTACCTTCAGTTTTTGAATATTAATTATTGGTTCGATTTACGCAAAACGAGCTTATAGTATCATGAAGTCTTGCAGTGGTATGCTTAGGTGTGGGTTTAATTTTGTTAATTATAGGATCCCAAGCAGGTGGCAGCACCCATCCATCTTCTCTATTGAAATTTGGATGTTTTTTAATTTCAATAGCCTCGCGTATCATCCTTGGTAGGAATCGGTGTTCTTTTGCGAGAATTTGTGGTTTATCAAAATGAATGTAATGGTGGGGACGATCTTGAACATGTTCGCAGACTGCAGACTTCCCGGAGCGTCGGTGCTTCACGTCAGCTATATGTTCTTTCACGCCGGTTTTTATGGATCTTTTCGTTTGACCTATGTAAGAGAGACCACATTCACAATCTAACTTGTACACTCCTGCATCTTGTAGAGGGATATTACACTTGACGGATGGTAAAAATTGACTAATCTTCTTCGGCGGCTTGTAGTATGTTTTAATAGAAGCTCGCTTCAAGATGTAGCCAACCTTGTCTGTGACTCCTCTGACATATGGTAGTACAGCAGGTACACGCTCGACTGTGGCCGGCTTCACTCGGTCACTGTGACGTAGGCGCGGGACCCGAAGCTTGTTGTCTTGCAATACTTGCTTGACGTGCTGTAGTTCGGCGGCCAGATGTTTTCTGTCACAGATCCCTCGTGCTCTCTGAAACAAAGATTTACCCACGGTAGCTAACTGTGAAGGATGATGGTGAGATTCACCATTTAAATATCGGTTGGTATGGGTCTTTTTTCTATACACAGTGTGACCAATTGTGTTATTAGGATTTCGAATGACTAAAACATCTAAGAAAGCTAAAGGTCCTGTGCTGGCTGCAAAGGGCTGGTTTTTCGACACTCGTCGCAGAATGACGTATGCAGAAATTGTTTATTGGATTGCACCCATTTCTTGTGAAAAACCGCCTCACATACACCTTTACACTTTACTATATTGTCATCCTTATTCAAGGACATAAACATTTTACATTTTTTGCACTGTATCATTTTGCTTCGCAGTACGTTCCCGCAGTATACTTTGTTTAAATGCACACGACCGTACGCTGAGCGCGCGCGCCCGGAAATGATCATCATATTTACTACTTATAAATTCTATAGGATCTTTAATCTCACTCAATTGTTTAATATAAAGTGACATTTTTTCATTTTGTCCAGAAAACCAGTTTTCCATTATGCTTAGAATTTTATCTGGGAAATTGAGAAAATCTGCTGTGTTAATTGGCTGGGAATTACAGGCCAAGCGATTACGAAATGTGACATATTCAGGACTGGATGGGAGGGTGACTGATTAGCACTAATGGAAGAGTCTTTAGATATTAAAGAGGCATTACCGACTTCAGCTGCGTTCTCTTCCATTTTTCTGTCCATCTGTTTAAAAGTACTGTTTATTCAGATGTATAATGTACATTCTCTGTTTGCGAATTGCGGCTAGTGAGCCTGTGTACAATATTATCCCCTAGTCTGTCCAAACGCCAGATTATGGCGTGTCAAATAATATGCGCATCTGTCAAACGCCATAATATGGCGTCGTTTTACCGCGAAGCTATAGACATATATCGGTTCTACTAATCCCATCTCTTTCTAACTTTACTGTAATCAAGACAATAGAACAAGGACGCAATAAAAGTCCAGTCTAAAGGTCACAATACCATATAACGTTGCGCGACCGTTTCTAAAAAAAGTTTGTTCAGTCAACGTTTGCAGTCATAACGAAAGCGAGTGTTAAAATTAAAATCGAACAAATAAGTAATTGTGAAGTGTTTTATCTGCAAGAAACATGAACGGGTAAGTAATGGACATTTTCTAATTGTTGTTTTGTGTACGAGACAAAGATTTTGACCTAAATTTTTACTTTCCTCAGACATTGTACGTCACTTCTGAGGTGACGTTCGTACTTAATCATTTGATTCGAATAAAAATTGTTATCGTGGTGGCAAACTACTATTTGTAACATAAATAACATATATCAACAAACGTCATAATGATTAGTTTTGTCTAAATTGGATTTAATAATGTGTAAAATACAAAACAAAAATTGCATAATTCAAGACGCCATATTCTGGAGCCTTGACAGACAGGGAATCGATGGTTAACGACATCAAATCTGCCATTTTGTTCGATCATTATTTTCATCTTTTAGCAATGAAAAGTTCATTTGATTAGTTGAGATTTTCCAATCATAGAAATCTGCTAAGCACATTTCATTCACATGAAAGGGCTCACTTTTCTTCCGGGCAGCCTTTATAGCACCAATAAATGCGTCAGGTGTATACATTGGCATAGATCGTAATTGCCGCTTAATTTCTCTCTCAATTTGAGAATGAGCAGAATCGCTCGATTCGATTTCGTTTACACCTCTGTGAGCATTTGACTCGTCCCAAACATAGCTTTCAACACAGTTACTCTGAATGTTGTATATAGTTAGATTAGGGACATTCAATTTAGACTTATAATAAAAGACAGAAATGTCCCCTTTGGGAAATTGGAAAACCGCTTGAAGGTCGTACACAGCAACGAGAATTTCACTTTCTTTTTATCGTTCTCCTTCTCTGCACGTGAGAGAAATTTTTCATTTTAATGTGTTTTGTAACTTTCTTTTAATCGTTCTTTCTCTTCATCAGTGCTGTTTTTGTAAGCTTCGCATACATCAACCGTGTCCAGAGGCGGTGACTAGCGTGACACCGTCCTTGTCTATGATGTTGGGGGCCTCCGCTCTCTGAGTTGCCTCGTGGGTGTCCTATATCCTGTGTACGTTGTGTTCACCGCTTCCCTCTGGTTCACTCTCCACGACAAGCCCAGTTACGCGGGATTACTATCGAGTAAGTCGTACGCGGCTTCCTCTACGGAAGCACCAGCACCATCCCCTGCATCCTTGACAAGAGCGCTCCAAAACGACTCTAGATGGGCAAGTCCGTGGGGGGAGGCAATCTCGTCAACATAAATCGTTTTTAGGGACAAAGAATGATAAGTTGTAATCTTGCGTAAATATACGGTAAAACATTAAGTAATTGGCGAACGGTACATTTTTTAACTTACATTCAGCAACATAGTATCTATGGAGATCGGTGATAGCTTTGCTGCCATCGATGTAATGTCTTCTTGAGTTAACTTTTACATAATGGGGTTCAGTTTTCGGTATTGCTTCAATATTATACGTGGTAGAGCCATGCTGCAGTTATATTAGTAGTATAGTTGTAGCATGAATGGGTCGGGGAAGGACCACGCTCTCACAGAATACCAGCGTGAAATAGTAGCTTAATGCTGCTGTAATTCGTATGGTGAGTGTAGAGAACCGGAGACCCTTTTTACTGGAAACGAGGCATTCCATCTTAGTCCTCACGGGTGACAACGCATCTGCATTTTGATTCGTAATCGAGGATAGATGTAGATGTCTATGGGCCACAGCAACCACTTACCATCAGGTGGACTGTGTGCTCGTTTGTCACCCTATCCTATAAAAAAAAATGTTTTTACACCATTCTTTATGTTTTCATCCACTTTATATCGTTTTGCACGATGTCCCCGATTATCTTTCATAGAAGAAATGTTGCAATCTATATTTTTGTTCTTTAACGCCGTTTCTATTGGCCGGTTATTAATTGCCAAAGTGTTTTTGGAAATACTTTACACATTCTTATTTTTATTTCAGAAATGGTAAAATAGAAAGCATTATTGTTGTCGCGAGTTGGTGCAACGTTTCCATCTGGATCTACCTTCACATATCGATGTTTTGGGATGACTGCTTCGACACTATTTGCGATAAATGACCACTGTTTTTCAATGTCGCCAAAGTTCCAGAATTCTTTTAAAAGTTGTTGACGTTGGTCATCTGTGATATTTAAACGACATTTGAATACGCAATTTTCTCTGCAAGGTGGTCTCAATTTACGTTCTGGAATTATTTTTTTTTGTTTTTATTGATTGATAAGACTTACCGCTATTTCTCAGTTTCTTCGCTAAGTTTTTCTTCCAGCTTCCTTCTTGTCTTCGTCTTTTTTTACCTTTTTTGTTCGGACTACAATTTGGATTTTGTAAGTTTTGTTCAGTGACCTGTACGCTCTGACAGCGCGCGACATGTTATACTCCCTAATATAAATAAGATTAAGTAAATTACTAAAAAAATAGAAACAAAAGTGGAACTTACCTTCATTAAACGATCTGATCTTCCTCAGGCTCAAGTTCTGTAATCAGAAGCAGAGACTGATGCATATCTTTCATCAATGAGAGTATTTCCATAAAATTTAAGGTATCTACCTCTAGACGAGTGAAGGCCTTGTGAATAATACTGTATTCTGGATGATGTTTATTTTTCCAATAATGGAGTAGCGAGTACATACCAGCATCCGTCTCAGGCTCTCGAAGACGGAGGCATGCTAATAAAGTTTCTAATAATGTGTGCTTACTTGAGTCATGGTCAGAAAAATTTGCGTCCAATGCATTAACATATTCTTGATGTACAATGGTATCACGTGATACGTTATCGGCCTGGAGTACCGCAATTCCAGTGCGCCAGACATCATGGCCGGAATTATTTTGTAGGAAATATCTACACCAGTCAGTGCTGGCGTTTCTACTTCGCTCCTTATCATATATTCGCGCAGCCGCCTCAACGGGACTTGGGTTGAGAGGCCACTCGACTTGATCACGTCTGGACCCTCTCGAAGGTAAGCGTTTAAGAGGAGTTAAAGTACCGTAATTCGACTCCAAAAAGCGTTTTATCTCTTCCCCGACGTGTTCACGGGTGATGCAATCTGATAATATGGTGTGCACAGTCTCGGAATGTGAGTTTGGGTCATTGCCGGTGAGTTTGCTATAGACTCGCTCACCCGCTAATGTGCCGACGCTCCACTCGTCGACACTGCCATAGCGTAGGCGTGGATCGCTCTAGACTCTGGTTCTCTATCGACTTATGATTAAGAAATGAAAGTAACCAGGACTTTGTAGTCGGTGTACGGCTACATAGTCTTTTCCTTGATATAAAACTCGCATTGACCTTACTAAAATTCCTTAGGATCTTCTGAAGAAACATTCCGAATGATATATTACCTCTATTCGCCTCAACCATCATCCTGGCAGCATGGCCAGAAGGGGAGATCAAACGTTGGCTAATAGAAAAGGGAAGAGGGAACTTGGCGAAGACACAGCCACGCTCTTCCGCACCCTTCTTTCGTTCTAGATCGTATTGACCAATTAATCCACGTGAATGCAAGTGAAACTCAGTCTTCTTTGTAATATAAGTTTCAGATGTTAGAAGCTCGTCCTTGTAAAGGTCAAGAACGAGCTCATCAGCTACAAAATATAAATGCGACAACTTCGCCCCTAGAAGCAGCCGCGTATCAAAGATGGTACAATTTACCGTCTGCAAAGCTCACCTTCAGGGAACGGATATTCATTTTTGGTTAATGCTGCTCCAGTAAAGAAGCTAATTAGGAAGTGAGTCACTCGAGATTTAAGAGCCTCGAGGTACCTAATTACCTTCTCGGGAGTATTACAATTTATTGAAAATAGGACGATCTCGTGCAGGCACGATATTATTGGTTTCTCAACTATATAATCGCAACGCCTATAGCGCGTAGTAAGGAAGTTTACAAAAAGATCGGTATCTGTGAGCGTGCCGCTCGTGTATTTCTCCTTAAGAGCATACATTGTCTGAGAGAAGTTTGATACGCTATCCGGAGCCAGACACAGTATGTTAACTTCGTAGTCTGGTATATAAGCAATGAAGCGTGTTTCGAGTACGTCTCGTGATAATGTATATGGCTGTGGGTAAAATAAGCCACACTCCGGTAAAGTATATAGAGAGAGGGCATGTAAGTTAACCTTTATTTGCACGAGAAAAACTCGCTTAGGAAAAGTTTCATGCATCAAAATGCGTGTTAATATTGCAATCTCAGACGTAAGAAGACGTTCACGCTCCGCGCAATCTTGAGGCATGTCGTTACGAACGTCCCATACGAAGATGTATTTCTTAATTTCATCTAGTTCTGGTAATAAATCATCAAAGCTAGTAATCTTGAGTAATTTATGGTTTATTTGAGGTGACATAATGTCCTCGTCTAGGGGGCGAGGATCGAATGACAAGATGCGGCCTTGGAAGCCGGTAACTTTCATAGCTGCGAACCACCCTACTCCAGGTGCAGATCCAATGTATATAATATCCGCTCCGGGTATGAATATTGGGAGCGAAATTGAAAATAATTTTCTTATTCCTAAATCGGGTATTTTAATAGCTTCTTTAATAAAGGTTGCACTTACATCATTCGTCATGACGGATGGAAATGTCCCAGCCGTTTTTCCGTCCCATCCTATATGTAGTCCCAGTGGTGCAATGCCACAGATTTCACTAGCGTTTTTCCAGATATTGGGATGAAATACAGATTCAAGTTCTGCGCTGCACCATCGGTGCATTGGTAGCAGCGAAAGTGTATCACGTACCATATTACAAATCCTGATTCTTTCGACATTTCCATAAATTATATTTTGTGCAAAATCATAAAACGTGGAAGCATCCCACGTATCCATATCAATGTTTTGACAATCATACAATAATCCACTTCCAATGGCGTGAGCAACGCATTCCAGTCCTCGGTCAACGACTAACAGAAACGAAGATTCGTATCCTAAAGCGAACCATAATTTTTCTTTAATAAATTCAGTATCACGTCCGTAGTTAAATACGTTTTTATTTTCAATAGAAGTCCCTAAACTGACGTACTGTTTATTACTCAGAACCAAACCACAGTAGTTGCGCATATTGGCTTCTCATCTATTGTCTATCCTCAAAGTTGCTTAATTTGAGAGAAAATTGTGATGTATTTGATGAGTTGCTTGATGATGATGATGATGAGTCACTCGAAGAACTAATCCTGCTGCTGGTCGAATCAAAATGATGGCTATTGGATACTGATAAGTCAACTACTTTATTTGGTGTGTTATCCACATTTAACGTTGCTTCCTCTATGTTCGACCATGCGTCCCCTGAGCTTAACATTGCGTCCTTATCTAAAAGAAACGTTTACATACGTAAAATATTTAATTTTAGTACGACAGAAAAATGTAATCCAAACTTAGTATCTACATTATTCCGCGCACGGAATAGTTAAGTACCCACCACGCGTTAAAGAGTAGATAGGTATTTATCTCAACCGCGTGGTGGTAGCGGAGTTTTCTTGCTAAGTAGTTCTTTAATAATTAAATATACAAACAGGTCATGTACCCGACTTCTATAGACAATGCAAGATTAACAAGTCTTTTACATCGCGATTCTATCTGGAAAAATAAGTACAAATAGTTAATTGTTTTAGCATTAACAACGTAATATTTAGGAATATTACTGTTTTAATTCATTTGTTTCTGTTCAATAACGGAACATTACGGGTAGAAGAGTATTGTTGCATAGACTTTTAGATTGCATAGAGTATTGTTGCATCTTGTTGCATCAGCTCTTGCATAGGGTATTGTTGCATAGAGTCTTGCTAATCTAATTGAAGGTGACTCATTCTCCCTACGGGCAGAAGAGTTTTTTCTCGCAGATTCTAGTCTTGCTGTTGGTAAATATTCTTTCATTTGTTTCAGATCTATTAAAAACTAAAAGATGTTTTTTGTAATTACTTTCTTTTTTGGCACTTTGGTTTCCTTTATATTTAATCTTTTTACAGGTCTTTCATTAGTCCTTGCAGATCTTAAAAGCATACAATGTTTCTTGGGTGTAGGTTTTGAGTTTTTCAACCGATTGTTTGATAAATATCTTGACGTTTTTGCAAAGGTGTCACTTGAATTTAAGTTCCTGGTGCAGATATTGAAAGACTTTCTTGTAATCTTTCCAGTAGCACAAAATGTTGCACATATATATGGACATCTACAAAAAATGTAACTAAATAAATATAAACTATGTTCATTGCAATTTGTTTAATTAAGTGCTGAGTTACCACGTGCTCAGCGGTGAAGGAAAACAGCGTGAGGAAAAACATGCATGTCTGAGAAATAAGAAAACAAAATATTTCGAAGACATGAGAAGTTATGTTTCCAGCGATCACATCTTGGGACTTCAGGTTTTTGATGTTTTCGTTCAAGGTGGTTAGGTTAGCTTGGAAACTGTCGATGGCGTCTTTTTCCAACTCACCTGATTCTGGGAGAAAGAGCTTGATATTTTGTTAATAGCAACAATTTCAGGCGCATACATTTCGGGTCCGGTTTTCAATTCACTCTCAAATATCTTCCGAGTATAGGTATATAATTCTTCACTTTTGTATGTGCAACCGGCTCCAGCGCGATAACACCGGCGTCTCTCAGCTGTTCCACGGTAACTTGATCACCGCAAAAAAACTAACGTTGTATTTATCACATGTTGGTAATAATATTCTTGGGATGTAGATTGCCAGTGTTTGCTTGAGGCACTCGATGAACGGCAACAACGTCATTAGACACGGTGGTATGTTTGACTGCGGTTGCAATACTTTCAATAATTGTGATCAAGTTTTCATTACGTTTTTCCGGTAAATTGTTAATTTCTACATTACAAATACGTGACTGTTGTTCCATATTTTCAATCGTTGATTTCAAAAAAGCAAAAATATATGATTAAAACTACTGTGTTATATATGTTGTATGTGTTATATATAGATACTGTGTATAGGAAAAAGACCCATACAAACCGATATTTAAACGATGAATCTCACCACCATCCTTCATAGTTAGCTACCGTGGGCAAATCTTTGTTACAGAGAGCACGAGGGATCTGTGACAGCAAACACCTGGCCGCCGAGCTTCAGCACGTCAAGCAAGTTCTGCACGACAACAAGCTTCGGGTCCCGCGCCTACGTCACAGTGACCGAGTGAAGCCGGCCACAGTCAAGCGTGTGCCTGCTGTACTACCATATGTCAGAGGTGTCACAGACAAGATTGGCTATATCTTGAAGCGAGCTTCTATTAGAACATTCTACAAGCCGCCGAAGAAGATTAGTCAGTTTCCTACCATCCGTCAAGTGTCATATTCCTCTACAAGATGCAGGAGTGTACAAGCTTGATTGTGAATGTGGTCTCTCTTATATAGGACAAACCAAAAGATCAGTTAGGACCCGCGTAAAAGAACATATAGCTGATGTGAAGCATCAACGTTCCGGGAAGTCTGCAGTTTGTGATCATATCCTAGACGGCCCCAACCGTTACATCAGATTTGATAGACCACAAATCCTCGCGAAAGAACACCGATTCCTACCAAGGATGATACGTGAGGCTATTGAAATTAAAAAAAACATCCTAATTTCAATAGAGAAGGAGGCTGGGTACTACCACCTGCTTGGGATCCTATAATCAATAAAATTAAAACTAAACCCAAGCATACCACTGCAAGACCTCAGGACATAGTCAGTTCATTTTGCATAGATCGGACCATAAAAAATAATTAAAAAAGCTGAAGGTACTCCGGGTTTAACAATGACATCGGGACGTCAGTCATCTCAGTCCCCCGTGACCATGGGTGCTGGAAAGCGCCCGAAACGTCGGGAATTAAAAATAAAAAGTAAAAATAAACGCGATAAAATCCGTAAAAGTAGTTTTAATCATGTGCAATGTTCGCGTAAATATAAGAAATCATTATGTTAACCAGTACGGACTGGAAATAGCAAATAAAATACGCCGATTAGAAGATCTGAAGACCAAGCGCGCAAGATACATAACAGCTTTAACACGTTGAACGCCATGGGGGTCACCGGTGACCTCATCTGGTTTACTTTATTGCGCCATGGGGGTCACCGGTGACCTCAAGCGAGAGGCATATTCGAAATGTATTTTTGGGCCGCCGGTCACGCGTGTCGTACATTTCGTGTATGCGAGTGACCGCTTTGGCGCTATAGAGTAATCCTTTTCAAGGGGACGTGGCTACTTAGAAAATTTTAGGAAATATGTACAATATCCTTAAGATAAAATAAAAAAGCGACTAATTTCATGATACATGACTTTTAATCACATTAAATCTTAAAGCTATTACAATGCACATTATTAAAAATATAAAACAAACAATATAAACTTCAAATTAAAAAAAAATGTCTTCTTACACAGGAAAAAATCCAGGAAATGCTACAAAAATTACCATTGAAATAAAAATGCAATCAGAAAAAATTAAATCAATAATTGACTAGAAAGAACTAATCATAACGATGGATCTTATTAAAACAGGATAAACAGATATGTGGGTTTCCATCACATTGAGCGCAAAAAGTATTAACCTTTTTTAGCTTTATTTTTCGCCAATTTTCGTCCAAACTGCTTTACCATATCTTTGTAACAGTGTACACAAAATCGTCTAGTATTTCTCACTGTCCCAGTTTTTGTTAGCAACTCGTGCTTCAAACGTTTGGGTCTTGATACCGTTACTCCTGACTCAGTCTGCTGAGAATCTGACGAGCTTGTTAGATAGTCTACTAGAGATTTCCGAAACTCTACGATTGACATTTTTGTGTTCCTAGTTTCGGTAAACATAATCCATGCATTTACTACGGCAGTATTCAACAAAATCTCAATACCAAGTTTCCGGTACCACTTAATAGTTTTACGTAAGGGAGAAGAATACGACGACATTTGGTCGCTCATATCGACAGATCCTTTTGACTTATTATAATCTAAAATCACTTTCGGCTTAGTAATCTGTTTGCCCTTTTTGGCGATTGTTGACATTTTATCAGAATGTTTAGTAGAAAGCATCATCACGTCCCGCTTATCTTTCCATTTTAAAATTGTTATACCATCCTCGTTTTCCATGGCCATGAACTCTCCCTTTTGAAGTTTGGCTTCTACTACATCCTTAGGTAAACCTCTTCGGTTTTTCCTAATAGTCCCAATCAAGTGCGTTTGATGTTCCAGTAAATTGTAAGCCAACTCTAAGCTGGTGTACCAATTATCAGTTGCCAAAGTGTGGCCTTTGTTTAATATTTGGCTACAAAGAGACAATACCACTGATGTAGGCGTAGTATTTACGGTATCGATATTTTTACCGCCATACAACGAAAATTTGCAGGTGTACCCGGGAATTGTACATAGTTTGAATAGCTTTAAACCATATTTATGGCGTTTACTTTTATTGTATTGTCTAAATACAATCCGCCCTCTGAATGGAACCTGACTTTCGTCGACACAGATGTCTTCCTTCGGTGAATAATCCTTTGAAACGTATTATTGACCATATCTATAATCGGTCTTATCTTAGAGATTCGATCAGATTTATTTGCGGTTTCATTATCACTAAAATGTAGGTACTGTAGGATTATTTCGAATCTATTGCGGCTCATGACGATACGTGGAAATGTCTGTCCTAAGATTTTATCTTTGCTCCAGTAATAGCTTAACTTTGGGAGTCTCACAAGACCCATGTATAGGATAAGTCCAAAGAAACGTTTAATTTCATGTCTGTCTGTTGGCTTCCAAGCATGAGATCTTGATGAAGGTTTTACATTTCTCGATTCGCAGGATTGTAAGGCGAATAAGTTGGTCTGCTTTACAATCATATCGAAAATTTCATCAGACACTAAAAGACTATAAAAAGCTCCCGGGTCTGCTTCTTTTAACATAGTAGAAAATTCTCTGTTCATACCTGAAGTTTCGGTAAATGGTATAATAGATGGTTGTTGACGCCTAGGGCGTGACCATTTCTTTGACACACGATCTGAGGCGGTAATATTGGCTGTCACATAATTTCGAACGATCAGACTCACTCTCACTGTCGCTTTGGATGATTAAACGTCTTCGTTTTTTCGGAATATGCAACTGTTCTTCGTTTGAATCCGACAACTCTAGATCTGATTGATTATCTTGTTCATTCTGCTGTATAATGCTAGTCTCGAGTAATGTTAATGCCCGCAAATCTTCCTGTGTAAAATCAAAATCTTCCATGTCCACCTGTATTTCTTCAAAATTTTTACTGCTAAATATTTCCATTTTTAATTATTTATTGCAATGTTCATAATATTCAAGTTCACTGCACACAATATCACACTAATTAAGTACTTGACGCAAAGTATTACAGCAACATAGAACACTCACGTTTTCTCTTCACGGGCGCTAGCGCAGTACTGAGCGGGTGGGTGGCCGACGCGGTGACCGGCGTGGCGCCTTCGTAACGGAAACTATTTTTATTACTTTATAGCGCCATGGGGGGGCACCGGTGACCTCAAGGGTTTTTTTTTTGTTATATTTACGGAACCCTATGGCAGATTCTTATGAAAAACAGTATACATACATATCTTGATTAAATACATAAATTACAAGTTTTTTTTTTTACAAAAAACTTTTTCTATAATGGCGTTTAACGTGTTAAATTTCTTGAAGAGATGCAGAGATCATAATCTCATTCCTACGTGTGTCAAGATATCCACTAAAAAAGACATTCGAGGAAGCGCCAAGATCTTAAATCAGGCTAGTAAAAAGTTGTTAATAACGGTGATTCAGCAAAAACGTACCGATCCATATTTCATAAACAAAACCATAGACAATTCGTCCAATGAATTAAAGACAGTTTTATCGATATTTGATTATAAAAATTGCATGGAAACTTTAGATAAACGCGAAACAACTAAATACAATGAATGCAAAAATAAACACATTGATAAATACCATAAATTAACAACTAAATCAAATGTCCAACATACGAAATCGTTGACCACAGACACGAATCATAAACAACGCGCTGTCTACAACTTATCAAAACAAACACTGGACGACGCCACAATAAAAGTTTTAGAAAAAGGTATTAATTTCGCAATAACACCGCGAAAAATACCGTATGAGGACATTATCTGTAGTGTTGAGGACTGTCTGTATAAAAATAATATTGGTAATGAAGATTTAGAGGCCATACGTCAAGACATCTCGTCTATGTTACGTCGAAGTTCAGCGCCGAAATTAAATCTTCCCAAAAATGAATTTAACGCGTTGAAAAACTTACGCAACAGACCAGAGCTTACGATTCTCCGCGCAGATAAAGGTAATTCTACGGTTATAATGGATACGTCAGATTACAATTTTAAAATACAACAACTTTTGTCGGATGAAACTACTTATCGAAAGGTCAAAACAGACCCTACAACTAATACGCTTAAAACAACTAGCGATCTAATTAAGAAATACTCCGAAAAATTGAATCTGGACGTTAATTCGATAATACCTTCCTGTGCCAAACCACCGAAGTTGTATGGGTTACCAAAGATACACAAACCGAATGCTCCATTACGTCCAATAGTGAGTCAGATTGATTCGCCAACTTACAGATTGGCTCAATACTTACCTAAAATATTATCACCACTCAGAGGACACACAAGAGCACACACTAAGGATTCATACCATTTTGTCAGTGAGATAAAAGACCTACATCTTACTGACAATGAAACCATGGTCAGTTTTGATGTTCAGTCTCTATTTACATGCCTACCTGTTGAAGACTGCATCTCAATTATAACTAGGAAACTAGAGGAAAATAACATGCCAGCAGAATATGCAGTATTACTAAGACATTGCCTTACATCTGGCTATCTATTGTGGAAGGAAGAGTTTTACAAGCAAGTAGATGGTGTGGTGATGGGCTCACCTGTATCTCCCATTGTCGCCGATATATTCATGGAAGACTTTGAGGAGAAAGCCCTCCTTACTGCACCTGTTACACCAAGGATCTACAAGCGGTACGTAGACGATACTTTCACAATTTTACCATCAGACAAAATAACTGCATTTTTAGAACATCTTAATTCCATAAACGCTAAAATTCAATTTACTATGGAGTTAGAGGCAAATAATTCCTTATCTTTCCTAGATGTGTTAGTCATCGAAAATCCTAATAACACCATTGGTCACACTGTGTATAGGAAAAAGACCCATACAAACCGATATTTAAACGGTGAATCTCACCACCATCCTTCACAGTTAGCTACCGTGGGCAAATCTTTGTTACAGAGAGCACGAGGGATCTGTGACAGCAAACACCTGGCCGCCGAGCTTCAGCACGTCAAGCAAGTTCTGCACGACAACAAGCTTCGGGTCCCGCGCCTACGTCACAGTGACCGAGTGAAGCCGGCCACAGTCGAGCGTGTGCCTGCTGTACTACCATATGTCAGAGGTGTCACAGACAAGATTGGCTATATCTTGAAGCGAGCTTCTATTAGAACATTCTACAAGCCGCCGAAGAAGATTAGTCAGTTCCTACCATCCGTCAAGTGTCATATTCCTCTACAAGATGCAGGAGTGTACAAGCTTGATTGTGAATGTGGTCTCTCTTATATAGGACAAACCAAAAGATCAATTTGGACCCGCGTAAAAGAACATATAGCTGATGTGAAGCATCAACGTTCCGGGAAGTCTGCAGTTTGTGATCATATCCTAGACGGCCCCAACCATTACATCAGATTTGATAGACCACAAATCCTCGCGAAAGAACACCGATTCCTATCAAGGATGATACGTGAGGCTATTGAAATTAAAAAACATCCTAATTTCAATAGAGAAGGAGGCTGGGTACTACCACCTGCTTGGGATCCTATAATCAATAAAATTAAAACTAAACCCAAGCATACCACTGCAAGACCTCAGGACATAGTCAGTTCATTTTGCATAGATCGGACCATAAACAATAATTAAAAAAGCTGAAGGTACTCCGGGTTTAACAATGACATCGGGACGTCAGTCATCTCAGTCCCCCGTGACCATGGGTTCTGGAAAGCGCCCGAAACGTCGGGAATTAAAAATAAAAAGTAAAAATAAACGCGATAAAATCCGTAAAAGTAGTTTTAATCATGTGCAATGTTCGCGTAAATATAAGAAATCATTAAGCAAAAATATAAAAATATAAAAATTAACATAGAAATGTTTCATGACTGATGTTATAAATATAAATATTACTTACAGACACCTCCGCAGTCACTTCCAACAACTCCGACAGGTCTCCAAAAGACCCGTCGGGTCGTTCATAGCAAATTGGCATGCTCTGTTGAAAAATGAACCCGTCAATATCTATAAGTGTCTATTTATCTATACTTGTGTGTGATGTTACATATAAATATTACTTACAGATATATCCAAGTCATCAAAATTGACTAGTTCCCCAACGTCTTCACCAATGATCATTTCTTCGGCTTCCTCCTCCTCATCGAGAAGAACATCGATGAAGACCTGGGGAACTGGGTTGCTCCCGGGGTTCCATATGCTAAAAAAGAAAATAATAATTTTTACATACCATAGTACATAGTTATGCCTATCATATTTTATATATTCATATTATATTATACAATATGTAACAAAACCCTGTGGTTCCAGTTAATTGCGTTATCAGAATCAGTATTCAAACGTATAGAAATAATTCTTTATCCTTCCTAGATGTTTTAGTCATCCGAAATCGTGATAACATCATTGGTCACACTGTGTATAGGAAAAAGACCCATACCAACCGATATCTAAATGGTGAATCTCACCATCATCCTTCACAGTTAGCTACCGTGGGTAAATCTTTGTTTCAGAGAGCACGAGGGATCTGTGACAGAAAACATCTGGCCGCGGAGCTTGAGCACGTCAAGCAAGTATTGCAAGACAACAAGCTTCGGGTCCCGCGCCTACGTCACAGTGAACGAGTGAAGCCGGCCACAGTCGAGCGCGCTCCTGCTCTACTACCATATGTCAGAGGAGTCACGGACAAGATTGGCTACATCTTGAAGCGAGCGTCCATTAAGACATACTACAAGCCGCTGAAGAAGATTAGTCAATTTTTACCATCCATCAAATGTAATATTCCTCTACAAGATGCAGGTGTGTACAAACTAGATTGTGAATGTGGTCTCTCTTACATAGGTCAAACAAAGAGATCTATAAAAACCCGCGTGAAGGAACACATAGCTGATGTGTTCCGACAAGTATACGCTTGACGAACGAGTTTCCGCCGATATCAAGCACCGCGGATCGTGATTCAAAAAACCGGTTTATTTTGTTTACAGAACAAAATGAATTCCGGTTTTGTTCTGAACATAACGTTAACACAAAACTGTTATTAACCTTTATTAACCGTTATTTTTCAAACCGGTTCCGGGCCTTGGTCGACGATACTGACTATTATCAAAACTTGATTGACAACTTACAGTTTGACCTGGTCAGCTCCGAGATTATCCCTAAAGTCACTGCAGTTCGATGTGCGGCACACACGCTGCAACTTGCCGTTCGAGATGCCTTAAATGAGCACGTAGACCTTCTTGATCGGTGTAGACGTATTGTAAGAATTTTGAGGACGCCGAATTATGCTCTCCAGTTGCGAGTAACTTTCTGCAGCCCATTATACGAGGGTGGATTGAAAAGTACTCGGCCTAACCAAGAAAATAAACACATAAAATCAGTTATATTTTTATTTTCTACATAATCACCATCAAGTTCAATACACTTTTGCCACCTCCCCCTTCCAAGCATTTAGACTGTTGAAAAAAAATGATTCTTCCTTAGAGTCAAAATATGCGTCTACAGCTGCTTTGACCTCGTCGTTTGTCGAAAATCTTTGACCTCCCAAGTGCTTTTTTAGGTTAGGGAACAGAAAGAAGTCTGATGGTGCCAGATCAGGTGAATACGGCGGATGCGGTAACAGTTCAAAGCCACAGTTGTGAATTTCAGCCATTGACTGTACTGACGTGTGAACGTGGGCGTTATCTTGATGAAACAGGACTTTTCTTCTAAGCATTCCTCGACGTTTTTCTTTTATTTCCTCTCGTAAACGACGTAGTAAGGTGCAGTAGTAATCAGAGTTTATAGTCTGACCCCTTTCAAGATAATCAATCATAATCACACCTTTCGAGTCCCAGAATACTGAAGCCATCACCTTATTTGCCGACAAAATCGACTTAGCCTTTTTTAGGGAGTGGTGAACCAGGTCTTCTCCACTGTTTTGATTGTTGTTTTGTTTCCGGTGTACAGTAATG